GTGATCATATAATTATCATCTTGATACTCTCAAACTTTCTGATTATTAAACTTATTTACAAAACATATTCTATTTAATATAACTTTAATAAAACAACCTTTAAAACATGGAAAATGATAAATACAACTATCACAAATGACCTGTCATTACTTTCTGAAGAATCCAATATCCAGGAGTTCTGGAAATCTTCAATAAAAAAGATACAATACTTCATAAAAAACTCCAAACAATTAATTCCATATCCATAATCTCTTGTCACAAACTTTTTACCCACTTAATCACACAATTTTAAAAGATTTTAAAGATTGTAAACTTTCTTATAACAACAAAAACAATCAAATTAGCTTACTTAAAAAATTATTCAAAATCATCTTCAAAATACTTATAATCAAAAATAATCTATAGAGAAAATAAATAATCAGCAAATAATTAATCAATAAATAATAAACCTTTATAAGAATCCTAAAATCATAATTAAACAAACTCTTAATTACAAAAATCCTCACACTTCATTTACAAAAATTATTGATCCTATTAATAAAGAAGTAATAACTAATCCACTTCAAATCTATCAAATGATAACAGATCACTACAAAACAGTCTTTTGCAAATAAGCAATCAATAATTAACTTCTTTTCAAATGGAAAAAACACTATGTTCCACTTAATAATATTAATTCCTCAATCTATGACACACTAATAAGTCTAATCACAGAATATAAAATCATAGAAACAATTAACTTACTTCCAAATAACAAAGCTCCTGGTCCTTAAAATCATATATTTCTTTATAAAACAAATTCAAAAAATACTTTTTTTCCTATTTCTATACAATCTTTAACCAAATACTTTCTTCTCAAGAAATTCCAACAGACTGGAAAAACTATCACATATTTCCAATTAGCAAAAAACTCCAATGGAAGTATAATATACAAAAATATGACCTATAACACTTATTGACTCATTTAAAAAAATTCTAACTAGAATTTTAATCAAAAGAATTAATCATATCCTAATTATGCACAACATTTTCCAAAAATTCAACTTCATAGGTCTCTTCAATTAAAGTACTTTCAAATCAATACAAATCTTAAACTCAATTTACAATTTCAAAAAACTCATACAAGAGAAACTATAATCCTATTACTTGACATTAATGCAGTCTTCAATTCAGTAAATCTGGATATGCTCAAAAAATTAATGTAAAGATTATATTTATCAAAAACCTTTATCTCTCTAACCAGCAATATTCTCACAAATCGCATATGCCATATAATAACAAATTCAGGCCTCACTCAACAAATTATAGTTCCAGATAAAATTGATTAAGGAAAAACAATTTTGCTTCTCTAGTGAATTATCTTTTATAATCCTCTAATCACAGTCTTAATACAACAACTATCAAAATTAAAACACAATACTATAGCATATATGGATAATTTTAACCTTCTAGTAACTTCAAAATATGAAATTCAAAACAACCTGAACATTGCAACAGAATTCTTTCAACTTAATGATATCAAAGCCAACCCAACAAAAACTAAACTTATTATTATAAATAGTAAAATATCTGATAAAAAATATTCCAAGGATCAAATCCAATTTTCCTCTTATCTAAAAAAGAACCAATGAGAAAACTAGATATTTGGTTCTCTGAATATAGTATCCTTGCATCAATCATAACAAAATTCTGGATGATATAAAAATAATATCTTAATCACTCAAATTTAAATTCACAACAGGTCATATGACCTCATATATCTATAATAAGGTTCTCCTATTATGAATAGAATATAAACTTTAAACAACCTTTCTTATTGCAAATATGCTTAAAAACTTTCAAAGGAAAATTGACTCAATAATCAAACACAAATTTAATATTGAAAAAATTTTTCCTTAATTTTAATTCTACAATCCATACATTTTCAACATCAAACCAATTTCAATCCTATAATTAGAAGTTCAAATTTCTAACCTACAATACACACTTTTATATCCTACCATCAAATATAGTAAAGAAATAGAAATCCTTGCTATTCAAATCCAAAACTGTCAACTTTTTTGAACTAACAAGTCATTAAATACAATACTATAATATATACAATTCAACTTGCCAAGAACTATAATATCTTATTCTGCTTTGAAACAAATTGTCAATACAAAATTCCAGGAGAAAACACTCTTATTCATTAACTTCTTTTATACTATCAAAAATGGTCAACTTTTGCAAACCAACTTTCCAAAAAGCATATCTTGTATATCAAACAACTACTTCAATACAATAACAACAAAATTACAAACTGGTACCACATCTCAGCCAGATTTGGATTCAACACTCATAGGAAAACACACCTCTGATATAAATTACTATTACAGCAGAACTTTTAACAAATCGGCACAACTCCAATAATACCAAGCAAAAAAAAGAAAATGGCTTGCATTCCTTATCAATAATGAAATAATCTAAGATGTAAAAAGGTTTAAGAATGCAAAAAGAGCTTTCTGAAAAAAAACAAAGGAAAGGAAACCACCATATTTAAGCAAAAACCTATTCACTTACAAGATCCTCAGAAAAAGAAAAGAATGATTCAACAAGACTTTTCAAGCTCAAGAACAATAACAACTTATTCAATGACAACAGCTAAATCAAGCCACATACTAGGACTCACAAAGGTGCTATGGAACAAGATAAAAAAAGAAAGAAAATGGTTAGGAATATGAAGTAATCAAGATTTTGTCAAGGTGATCTGTAGTGATGAACTGCAGGCAATGAACTTAAGTTTTCTTAGGAACAGAAAACAAGAGGGAGCAACTTTATTTATCTCCAAGATTATATCTAGAGGTCAACTATCTAAGATAGGTATTCAAGTATAAGTAATTAGTTTATGCATAAAAGTCAGTACATGTATGATTATGTCTTCATTTAAAGATTAAATAAACATAATAAATACTTGTTTGATTACAGAAAAAAATTATCTGGTTTTATATTTATTATTATAATTAATTATTTATTAATATATTCTTCATTTTATATTATTTTATATATTATTATTATTTACATTATAAATTATATTTTTATAACTATTATATAACATTTGATTTTATCTTGAATAATTATAAAAAATATACAGGATATCTATAATATTATTAAGCAATAAATATATAATTTAGATTAAAATTTTAATAAATATGATTAAAAGTTAAAGTAAAAAATAAGATATTATTTAAAACTCCTTTGATATAAATTTGTTCAACAATATTTAAAAATATATTGCTGTTATCCCTAGCGAGTCAGTCACTAAAACAGCTCACTCTTTGCATGAAAATAATCCAACCACTTAAATTTCGGCATTAAATAAAGTAAGGCCTTAATTCTAAGGTGTGTTATGGTCTATCTAAATACTATGAATAATTGTTACTATCAATTCACTATTGTTATACACATGTTACAATGTCGCGTTCCATCCATCCACACTTATTTTATATGCTCTGCATATAAACCCCGACTAATTTACCTATTATTAATAAATACTGTTTTTGTCAACGCCAGATCTATTATAAACCTTTATAATTTGTCAGATATTCTATTGGATATATCTTCTCTATATTCATTATATATTTGTAGTGGTGTATCAGATGGTATAATTATCTGTGATAATGATTAATTAAAGAATATAACTCAGATCAATTAAAATATCTGTAAATAAATTACTTAAAAATATTAATAAAATATGCTTACCGGCTAAAAGTAGAAAATATAACTCAGATCAATCAAATACCTTTTACAGTATATGAATTTACTCACAAATATCAATAGAAATATTCTTAGTGCCTGTAATAATAGCTAAAGTTAAAAATATAACCCGGATTAAATAAGATACCTTATATGAATTTACTCAACAAATATTAGTGTAAATATGCTTACTGAAAAAGTAAATAATATAGCTAAGATCAGTAAACACACCTTTGATACGAATTTACTTAGCAATATTAATGAAAATACGCTTATCCCTAAAGAAAAAAATATAACTCGAATCAATCAAACACATTTAATGTTAAAATCATTTAACAAATATTAATGAAATTTGCTTACCATATGTGATTATTATTAATTAAAGAATATAACCAGATCGATTAAAACACCTTTGATATAAATTTTATTTAATAAATATTGTATTAATGAAAATACGTTTACCCTCTAAAAGCAAAGAATATAACTCAGATCAATTAAAACACCTTCGATATGAAATTAGTTGAAAAATGTTAATGAAATATGCCTACGGTCTGTAATTGTAGTGAAAGAATATAATTCAGAGCAATTAAAATACTTATAATATAAATTACTCGACAAATATTAATGAAAATATGCTTACTGACTAAAAGTTAAGAATATAGCTCAGATTAATCAAACACCTTTGTTTTGAACTTACTTAACAAATATTAGTGAAAATATGCTTACCGTTTGTAATCGCAGTTTAAAGTAGAAATATAACTCGGATTAACTAAGCTACTTTATAAATTCACTCAACACAGCGAAAATATGCTAACGTCAGAAATAAAGAATATCACTAAGATTAACTAGAACACCTTTGACATAAATTTAATCAATCCTAGCCTTGTTTAATGCATTAATAAATACTTAAGGCGACTGATTATTCTTTTTATACAGTATATTGATACGTATTATATAGAACATGTGATTAATTAAATTCAGTAAAATACGTATCTGGTAAATCATTTTCGATAAAAGAAAGTTCAATTATGGAATGATCAACATTTTTATCAAGAACATTCTGCATTAACTCAAAATTAATTAAGTGATTAATACAACCAATTACAGTAATGATCAATCTTTCTTTCATCGAGAGTTGACCAGTAAATCGATAAAACAACATCGAGTTGACAACAGTACAGCACAATATTAATTGATTCGTTCATGAAGTTGATTTTTAAACATTCTTTAAAAAATAATTACAACAATTTCATAGGATTTATTAACACATGGCCCTACCAACCGCATGGAACGTTTATGATAAATCTACCTTTTTAGACGTCGACATTGAAGGACGTAGAGTAGCATACACAGGTGATATTCAAATGAAAGTATATTTTTGTATGAACTTTAATAGCCTTTAATTTACTCTTGAAAAAAAAAAGATCGAGATGGAAATAGAAATCCTGCCACAATACGGTCAAATTTTCCGATTCTTCCGAAATGCGGATTATTTTACTTTGAAGTCACCATTGTGAATGAGGGAGACAATGGGTAAGGCGTAATGCTCGTTATATTCTTGATCCTAATAATTACTTACATTTTTTTATGTATTATAAGAATTATTGGAATTGGACTGTGCACAAAAACAGCTAATTTAGATTCGATGCCTGGTGACTTTAATATTCTCCTTTTCTATGCGTTTAACCATTTGTCATTCTACTGACTAATGCATTATTTATCATTACATATAATAATAAGGATGGGAAGATGACTCTTGGGGTTACCATGGTGATGACGGAAAATGTTTTCACTCATTAGGAGTTGGTAGAGTGTATGGGCCATTGTTTACTACTGGTGATACTATTGGATGTTGCTTGAATTTTCAATACAATACGATATTTTACACGAAAAATGGAGTACATCTTGGTAACAATTATTTTAATTCAAACTAAAAAGGATGTATTTGTTGAAAAAGTATTATTGTTTAAAGGAATCGCGTTTCGATGGTTGGAGGGCGATCTGTACCCTTGTGTCGGAATGAAATCACATGGAGGATTGATAGAAGTAAATTTCGGGCATAAGAATTTTAATTATGAAGGTAAGTTAATTCTACCGATTAGTTTCTTAAAGATTATTTATTGATTTATCTTTAAATAGCGATGAACGATGAAGATATCGATGATGAATTATTAAAGGAAGAATGGAATAAAATTTTATTTCAAAATGGTACATTACCAAATCGACAGATAGACAGGTTTGCAGAGCTATCGGAATCATTACCCATTAAACTAAATAATAAGCTTTCATCTAAATATCGAGTAAAAGCTTATCTTGCTATTGGAAAGCATCATAAAGCGCGAGCAAATTTAGCGGAATTTAAATATCGGACAAAAGTATACTTTGTTATGGGCAACTATAAGAAGGCGCTTGAAGAGATAACAAAAATATTAGAAATCGCGCAAAACAACACATTCGCTCTAAGATATCGGGGAGAAATTTATCACATAATGGGAAATTTTCGTGAGTCACTTGGAGACCTTAACGGATTGTTGAAAATTAATCCACGTAATAAATGGGCTTACGAGTCCCTTGGAGAAGTCCACAGAGAGTTTGTATAATGTGTATTTTTATAATTTTTCAAGTTACTTAACTAACTATATGTAAAATAATAGAATGTGAGTATGCCATATTTGGACATTATACTGTACGATATTTGTACTGACTTGTTATATACGTGCAAATTTTAGAAAGTAAGTGCAGCGTGAGATCATTTTTATAATCTTTTCTTTAAGAGACTCACTATTTTTAATTGACAATTAGTCTGTAGGTTTAAAATTTATGTTTAAAATTTTTTGTACATAAAGTTGACTAATTAATATCAAATTTAACAAAACACATCCCCAATTTCAGTTTGTAAGTATTTGGTTCTTAATAATTCAGAGATTCATATAAATTTATGATCTTAATACTTACAGTTAAAATAACAAATTTTTACTGACCGCTAGCAAGTGAGTGTTTGCTAATAATAAATATTTAGAAACTTTAATATGATTTATTTACTGTTAAACAACACTTAATAATTCTTTAGCTAGTAAGTATAAAGTTACTTAAGTGATTTTTTTGGTCATATCTAACATTTTTGTGTCTACTTTATTGTAGTTTGTAAGTACTGTTTTTTGTTAACCTTTACCTAATTTAACATAATGCATCAAATAATATTAATTTAATTATTTATAAGCCGGTAATTACCTCTGTTTTAATAATTATTTGTTGTTTATTTTAAAATAATTTAACATTAATACATTTTATTATCCCTAGCGAGTAAGTGTTAAAAAGATTCATTAAATGTTAATTATTATTGAATAACCTTTTTTAATATACGATCAGAATGTGGGTATAGCAATTCCTGTTTATAATGAGTCCATTTCATTAAATCTAATGCAAGAAATTGCTTGAAATTGCATACCATTTAGTGTGTGAGTATTTCTATATCTTAATCGTTTCATAAAATATTATTTAATGAAAATAATACTTTGTATGTAATGACCTTTAGCGAGTAAGTACATGAACGTTTAAATTGAAATAATTCTTAAAATTCAAGTTAAATGTTAAATTGTTTTATTCATTTAACTTATAGCCGGTAAGTATTTGGGTCCAATAATTTATTAAATCAGCAGACAGATTCATTTCCAAATATTTCATTTAAAATAATTTAATTGGCTGTTAGTTTGTGAGTATTTCATTTGTTGTATCTTTTTATAAAGAAAAATTTCAATGCCTTTTTCTTATTCACGTCTATATTTCCGTTACTTTCTCAAATTACTACCATTAATCTCAGTTTGTAAGTATTTTGATTATTTTTTTTGCTAATAAAAATAACTAAATATTAAATTTAATTATTCATCAATTTATACCTTAATAGACGGTAAGTACTTTGATTACTTACTACTTTTTAATAATATACACTATTAATATTCATCAAATCAATTTTTAGGGAGTAAGTAATTTTATCTTTATTACCTTTTTTGAGAAATATTTAGCCATATTAATTGACATTATCTATTAGGCGGTGAGCATTTTATTTACGAGTTTTTTGATCACTATCTTGGACAATGTCACATAACGCTTATTTAATCGCCTTCAGCAAGTAAGTCTTGATAGATGGTGTGCTTGTTATCGATTTAATTAAAACTCCTTTTATAACTAAATAATTTTTAATTTTATAAGACGGTTAGTATTAGATAGTAAAGATTTATTAAATGATGTTCGTAGTAATGTGAAATCAACTAAACATAAAGATTACTTTCTGAACAACAATTAGGCTGTGAGTACTTGAATATTTGATTTTACTATGATCGCAGATGAAGGTTACATTATGAAAGAATAATCTGAACAATATTTACATATTTGATGTTAGCGAGTGAGTATTTATTGCCAAAGGTATTTGTAATTAAACAATAATTAATACTAAACGACATTTTCTTAATTTTTTATCAGATGGTATGAAAATTTAATTTTAATTCTGAAGTGCAAAATTCTTAGTCATATCAAATAACACTGTATTTTATTATTGGTCAATTAATTAGCCTGTGAGTATTAGTTATTTTACTACAGTAAATTTAAACTTCGGTTTTATATCTAATTCTTTTTCTATTATTATTTCTCTGATCGTTAATTTATTATTAGACGGTGAATATTTCTATAAATTCAAACACCAATTTACCAATTTTGACACTATTAACATTTCCCCAATTACAAATAAATCGTTAGGCAGTGAGTATTAAATCGCTTAATAAAATCATGCAATCTGAATATTATTTAAAATGATTCTTCAATGGATTATTATTAGACTGTAAATATTTTAGCGTATCGATTATAAACTCAATTAGTGATTAATATATATATCAATTTAATGTTATTATCAGCGAGTAAGTATTTGTTTTATTTTCAAAACAGTCGTTCAACAATATTTGTCTATATAATATTACCCTGTTGATTTTTTTTTTTTACCGTTAGTGAGTGAGTATTAAGCATTTAGATTTACTATAACTAAAAATGCCAAGTTTTTATAATTAAAATGACCAACTTAAATCTAAATAAGCTTCAGCGAGTAAGTAATTAGCATTTAAATATAAGTCTTACATAAAATCTAACGTTCTATTTCATAACTTTGATTGATTACTAGCGAGTGAGTAATCGATATTTTTATTTGCGCACAATAACACATGTTCATCTAATTTAACACCAAATAAAATTTTTTTAATTGATTGTTAGAGAGTGAGTCTATTATTTCAGTTGATATTTGACTTTAAAGTTTAAAGTACCTACTCAAATACACGTAAAACATCTCTTCTATCGGTTCTTAGCGAGTAAGAAATTTATATTTAATATACAATTTAACTTTAAGCATGAATTATCTGCCAACTAATATCACATGAACTCCGAACAATTGTTAGTGAGTAAGTGATTGTTTGGATTAATAGTAATTAAACTTAATAAGTTTATATTATATATGAAATTATTTCAAGGACCGTTAACGAGTAAGTTGATGAGAATTTCAAATCGAATTATTTTTTATTACAAATCTAACAAAGCCTAAAATCCATTTTTTATTTATAGAAAGTAAGTAGTTTAACATTTGATAAGCGCTAATTTGAAAAAAATAACGGGGAAATACAGTAGCTACACTTCAATCAATCTTCAGCAGGTACAGTATGTAATGACACTATTATTTACAATATTTTTTATATATTAGTGAGCTAATCTAAATAGAACATTTTCTGATTTACGGTTGCCCAAATAATTAGGCGGTTAGCGTTTGATTTATCGTAATTCTTAAAAACACAATCTTCGGTTAATTTATCATACACAGTTTAATCCCTAACCTTTAGCGAGTAAGTAATCGGTATTACATTAATCCAGTTATAGTATTAAATATACAATATACACTATATGCGTTATGTTTTTTTAAAATTCAGGTTCTCAAATATTTTAACAACGAACACAACCCATTTTCAATCGTTAATCAATGCGTAAGTATTTTTTTAAAATATAAATTTATAAATAAAATAAATAATGTTGATAACCAAAATAACTATTCTTTGGTATATGATTAGTGAGTAGGCGTGATTTTAAAATTTTAAGCTGTTGATTTTGAGTAAAACTAAAAATCAATGACTTTAAATTTTCAACATTAGTAATTTTCATCCAATCGATCGGAGCCCGTGAGTATTGATTCATGTTTATAAAGAACTATAATAAATAAAACTTGAAATAGTGAAATGTTTATCTTAAATAAGATTCCCCAATAGATTTTGTACTTTTTAAAAGTTTCTAAATATTGTTTTTAATCCTTTCTTACTTTACTTACCAGCAGGCAGACAAACAAGTATTATTAAGTTATTTAAAATTTCCAACACGAAGCATCAAATCGCATTTTTTTTAATGATTTATTATGTAACTAGCGTCTCTAAAGAGTAAGTATTCAGTTTTATTGAAACAATTTTAAATCCCGTTTTTTAATATTTATTAATTATAAATAGATCGTAGTGAGTGATTAGGAACTTAAATTTAGTCGACTTTTAATAATGCTCCGACTAATTTAACCTCGAATTTAACATTAAACAAAAGTCGTATAGTAAACGAACCAACGTCGATTATTAGTGAGTGAGTAATTGATAATTTGCATTCATTATATTAATTTAAAATATAATACGAGCCCAAAAGATTGACTTAGATTAATCAAATTACGTATCGTCCAACGTTACTTCTTTTATCAAACAATAGCATGTGAGTTATCAAATGAAGTCAATTTTAAAGAACAATCTTATTTATTTTAACATGAATCTGGCATCCACTAATTTGCGATTAGTTGGTGAGTACTTGCGTGTTATCATTTGTGATAAAGTTTATATATATTCTAACGCTTTAACTGATTGTTAGTCCGTGAGTAATAAAACAATTCAACTTGAAAATTTAACGTGTAACTTACCAGTTAATTCAAAGTTAAACATATAATGATCGTTAGTTCGTAAGTAGTTAAAGTAATTGACGCCCGAAATAGCTAATCTTAAATTTCTAAGTTAATGTCAAATAACATTTATAGAATGTAAGAAAAGATTGTTCTATATTATATAATCACGTATTTTATGCATTAACACTATTATACCATTTGCAGACAGTAAGTATTGCTTAAATTATTATGTTAATATACTGTGCATAGAAATATTCAATAAGTTAACATAATTATATAACTACGTTAGAGAGTAAGTAAACAAATATTTATTTAAACAATTTTCGGCTAATTTTAACATTTCATTTGACTAATTACTATGATTTCACGCTAGCCGGTAAGTAGTTAAGAATCTGTCATTCAAAATATTCAGTGCCATTTGATGCTAATAATATGTCTCTAATAATTAGTGAGTAAGTAATAACTTATATAACATCTGGATGTTCTTAAACGTTTATTTAACATTTAATTCCTATATAATTAATACCTTATTGATTTTTGTTAGCCTGTAAGTAGTCAAAAAGTATACGTTAAATGCAACAAGTTTTTGACTAATACAGTCCACACCTTTATTGATTATAAGCGAGTAAGTAAATAAAAATTATA